GATAGAAGATACATTAACGTGTTGAAGTGGCTATACAAAATAAGAAGGTTGTTCAACGTTGAATAATGTTTAGTCAAGAGTTTGGTGTCCGCTTAAGAACAGAAGAACTGAGTATGGTAAAGAACAATCGAGGTGATGTGCTGTTTAGTAACGTTATTCGAAAGAGGCGGCTTGATCAGATGCCGTATATCGAAACTTCCACAGGGGATTAGTAGACACGAGGTGTAGCTCTAGAAGTGTGGGGCTGAGCTTCAGCAACAGAGGGCGATCGACGCACTCGCAGGTGTCTCGATAATGATTATGTGGTGGACGCATCGATTCAGCTAGGAGTTCTTCCTGCTAAATACTTTGCGCGATGCGGAAACTGTCCTTTGATGACTCGTTCTTGTGTGAGGGAGCCTAGTTTGAAGTGATATGACTTCGTTTTCACAACTTGGTCGTTTTGTCAGGATGACCTAGTTGGACGCACCTTGCTATAGTAGTTATCATCATTCATAGCATCGGACCATGGACTTGGTACATTCCCAGACGTTTAGCTGGCATTATTGGTGAATCATGCCAGTCTCAGCACCAAGTTACAAATTGACAAATGAAGTCAATCCCTTATGCAACATTCTGCCGAAACGATTGTGCTATCCCTTCTTTTTCTGTCCTGGCCAATCTATCTACTTCTTACTGTTTTATCACACTCCTGCATTATCACAACTTCTTATTTGTTCACACGCCACTACTCAGTTGTGCCATTTTTGTCGAATTTACTATGGCGTCATCAAACATGCTGTTCACCTTGAACCCCCTTTATTTGCTGATCCGATTTAGACCTATCGGAATCTGCTTCATGGTACCATAGATCCGTTTCTTATCTTTTTAGTTGAATAGGTTCACTCTGTTCCAGTCCCAGTGTACATTTTACTCTGAGCGTTACTCTCATGATTTTGCGAGCCTAGTCGAATTGAACACCTAGGCTTTGATTCCCAAGCTTGTAGACTTTTCGCATTGCCCTCACCGGTCCTCCCTTTCATTAAACCCGTGTGACCTGAGCAAACTGAACGTCCTCTTTTAGTCTGCTGAATCTTGATTGGATTTCTAGTCAACTTGGCCATAATGTTGAATTTCGGGGATGGTTGTGATTATCCGTCTTCCCACTCCTGTGACTGCCAGGCCCTCAATTTGTAATTGTTTCGTCAAGCAGATCACAATCAATGGGAACGTATTTTTATTTAGGAAACTTCATTGAGATCCCTTGTCACTTGGTTAACGATAGACCTTTGATCCAGACGTCTCCTTTTTTCTTGTCTTGTCGTATTTTTGCTTTGTTGAGTTTACTTTCATTTCGAGTGAAAGTTTTTGGTGAATATATTCGAAGGTCGATTCCACCAGAAGACGACGGCGGATTCCTCTTGATTAGCTGTCGATTGGCTTTACTGAAACATTCATGTTGACACTATTTCTGAGGTAATCTCCTTAGATTCCGGTGAAAAGGTGCTAAGCTTTCCTCCGTCATGACGAACATCATCGGAGCAAGGTATCAAGCTAACGAGTCAAGAAAACTCACTGACAAATCCT